TACATAGAAAAACAAGCTACAAATTTCTGTTTATTTACAGACTTAGCTTTGCCTATGTTAACATAATTCTTTATTTAAAACAATTTAATTTTGAATTAAGATGATAATTCAGTTTATAATACAGACAAATCCGATAGGGTAGCTGTCAAATTACTTATGAAAACACTGTTAAATCAAGCCTACTATTAAATTTAAAATGGCTTTTAGCTCAATTTTTAAATCTGAAGTATTAATATTTAATTTTACTTATCATTAAGATTAGCGAATTTATCATTACTTATCATCAACATACCCAAATAAGCTGAATGTCACACTTATCAAGTAAACTTATTGGCAATAGATTTTTTCCTCCTATTTTGTTTATATATTTTTCATACTTGCTCCCTCAACTCCATCTTCCCCTTACAAATCAGATGATTCAGCATACTCTCAATTCTTCATAAATTTCTACTAAAATGCCAATCACTTTGCCACCCCTGTCCTGCCTACTTCTAGTAAGTTACTTGAAAAGAGATAACAGAAACAGCAGAAGTATTGAAAATGCAGATTTTTCACACCCATTGCATTCCAAGTAGGTTTTGAGCAGCATCAGGTATTTTAAGATGCTGCCCATACCTACTTGTAATGCAATGTGTGAGAAGAACAGGCTTCTCACAATGTATTAATAGTTGGAATGACACATACAGTACATCACAGGAACCAAAACTGAAACATCAGTTGAAGACGTGACATTATTATCAGTCACACCAAATTTCTTCAGCTGACTTCCAGCAGCAGTGTGAAAGTTATGGTGATTCTTATGCAGAATTGTGATATTATTCAGTTCTTTTTGCTTATACCCACTCCTTCTGAAAAGTCGGCAACATGTTGCCATCTAATTTTTTGCGAAGCTAATATGCGAAAGGGAACAGCCACTTTACATTAAGAATTCCATAAAAGAGTAATGAATTAATAAAACTTTAAAAAATCAAAATATATTTGTAATAAAACATCTACCTTTTAATAGAAATCCTTATGTAAGTTGTTCTGCCCATGTATACAGTGACCTGTTTTTACTTTAAAAAAAAAAAAAAAATCACACAATTGCACAAATTTCACATTGTACACACTGGTGTTCATCCCATGCACATAACAATGTGTCTTCTCTTAAAAAGAACATCAAAGAATTGCACAAATTTTGATCCATGAAATTCGATTGTTTATGCAGTACAACTTCATGGAATGTGAATTTTATTTCCCTACTCTTGAGCAAAATGCTGTATTTCTGAAGAAATTCAATGCTTTCTTTTCTATCAGCCAGCAAATTATACAATTCCATTCTCTACAAGAGAAACAAATGCATTCAATGCAAAAACAAACACTAACCAAAAAATGACTGTTGAATTTGAAGGTGGAAACCCATCTTGACTGCTTTATGGGCGTATCTGGATTGCCGCATAAGTACATTTTAGCAACACAGTACAATGCCTCATGAATACTTTTCAGGGAGATTTTCGGATAATAAGTAACAACCTATTATTCTAATGCATATGATACCTTATGGGCAGACCATCAATGCGACAATTACTCTATATTTTTTAAGTCAACCTGAAACCCCTGTAGGAAGAAAAGCAGTGACACTTCTCGCAGAATTCTCCCATCTCTTTGCAAAACACTGTCTAACTGCATCCAGGGCAACTTTTAATTGATTTGTTCACTTGATGGTGGTATAATTGACCTATCGTCCACCATATTTCTTGAACTTAAGCCCCTGAGACCGTGATTTTATTCTAAAGACGAATGAATCACTTCATGGCATTTATTTCCAAACTGTTAAAGAAATTCTTCACGTAACAGACCATTTCATTTAAACCGTCAATTAAACAGGCATTGCTATAAGTATACTACAACTTCCACATCATTGGCAATTGGAATGTACACAGTGCTGATGAAAATATCAAAGGACAGCAAAAAATGAATAGGGTTATTTCTGCCATGCCAACTGTAAACAAATACTATTTAAAGTATTTACTATTTAAAGTTCAAAACCTAGTAGAATCAGTACTTGTACTCTCTCCCATTGAAACTGCTTACAAATCTTAAAGAAACAGGAGGGCATTCAAAACTGAATTAATTTCTATCCTTATACAACAAACACCAATAATACATCACACACATTATCAAGTATGATTAAACAAACTGAATGACTTAAGTCACACAACTTTACAGAAATTTAATAGGCAAGGCTTTTAACAGGATGTGTGTGAAGAATGGACTTCTCACAATGTATTAATAGTTGGAATGACATATGGAGTAGATCACAGGAACCAAAACTGATATATCAATTGAAGACGTGATACTATTATTGGTCACACCAAAATTATGAAGTTCACCTGACTTAAAAATGAAAAAATAAAAAATGCAATATGTTAATTAAAAAAAAAAGAATGATAGATTATTTCTATTTACTGTTCTATACCTTTACACTTATATAACAATTTATAGTCCTAATTTATTCTCATCAACTAAAATAACCCCTATAATAGTAGATAATTCCAAGATACCTTAACAAAAATTGCAGCAGCCAGCTTGAAATGTTAGTTGGCATTCTACATGAAATCCCACTGTGATATGGAAGCATTCAAACGGCTGTGTCCTTCACAAAAAAGATGGAGTAACACATTCTAGTATGTAACACTGTTCTTAATTATCTGTGAATCACAGTCATACATGAATACCAAGTATTTATTCACAAGGAATTAAGATATCCATCAGTATTTTGTACATGATTCAATTGATATTACATCATAACACTTATATATTATAACAAAACATCTAATTAATAATTCATCTGAAATTTAAAATATCAATAATTTGACAGTTTCCATTTAAAAAAAGGGTACTGTTCTGTTATTGGGACCAGATTTAGAAAAGTATGAATGTATGCATGTGTGTATGTATGTGCATATTATGTGTAAATGTAAACACACACATACATTCATGCTTGCATATATACATGCATACATGAAAACATACATCCATACATTTCTGGATCTGGTCGATAACAGTACAGTACCCCTAAAAAATTTAAAAGCCTGAAAGCATTCAAATTTCACATTACGCCCAAAGGAGCTTTTTTTTTTACATTTTGTGGGTTACCTTTATTTATTAAATATCATATTCTCTGCACTTAAACCATAAAATCCAGTTCAACAGCAATATTGCAAAATAGTTTTAAAATGAGCACATCTTTAGAATTTCCAACACACAGTCTTGCGCGATGGAGATAATTTTTTTTTTTTTTTTTTTTTCTGTACAGGGTTGCCATTGCTTGCTTTGAAATCGTAGAGTTTGTTAATAAAAAATTCGTTAAAGTTTTTCAAAATATGAAATAGATAATAAAATAAACTCCAAATTTGGGCTTCCAGATGCCCATATTCGGTATCCAGTAAAATATCAGTATCCAGGATTTATCCTGGATACTGACCTCTTGGATGATGTTAAGGAATTAGATTACAAGATATAAAGATTATAATAATTAAAGTATATATATATATTATATAATAATGGCTAAAAATTAACAAACATTTTTTAAAACCCGTCCTGTGCTATAGCTGCAAAATTAAAGTAGAATAACTTAAAGCATCTAAAGTTAACATTGTTGAAGAATTGCCTTGCTTTGATTCTAATTTAATGTCAACTATAAATGCTTTAAGTTTCTATATATAAAACTAAAGTCATATATATATATAACTAAAGTAAATAATTACACAGTGGGTATAAATTTTAAATTCTTCTTATTATTATTTCTATTTTATTTATTTACTTTTGTATAATTTACTCTCTTTATTATTAAATCCTTTAACAGTTTCAAGATATTTACATATTTTAAGTATTTAAAATACTTTTTTCTAAACCTTTTTACTTCTCAAAGAGTTCTTAGCAAGACACATTATAATTTAAAGCCCTCACACGAAAAAATCTTTTTAACTTTTTCTCCTCCTTTATTATACTTTCTATATTACTCCTTCATTATACTTTCTATATTAGCATTTATCAAATTCTTTTCAATAATCAATTTAGAACAGAAAAAGTGGCAAAGAATAAGTAAACAGAAACTTGATAAATTACTTCAAATTTCCCTGGAAATAATTTCATTAGTGATTTTTATATTTTTTGATTTCATTAATGTCTTTAATAAATTTTACTTTAAATCCAAAATTATGAATGAATTACTGCTTTTATTGCAAGAATACTTGCACTGGAAGATATAAACAAAGATCAGTTAAATATGTATTTATGGAAACATTATTCATGATGTCACTTTGCTCTGCATTTCAAGAAATTTATATATTAAAATCTTTTAGAATTTTATATTTTACCTTCACAGATTGTCAAGATAATAGTTATAAACAATGAGGCAGAAAATGAAACAATGATTAATGAAATTAAATAATAATAACCAAACTGTATGTTTCCAGCATACAGTTATTGACTGTGAAAATGCCTTTTTAGTTTTTACTCTACAATGAAAATTTTTATACACAAAAAAATTAAGGAACACTTAAGCTCAGCTTTAAAAATCACATTTTGAAATGGAAAAGAATATGATTCAAAATTTATAAAAATTGCAAGCAACTCAATACCATCACTTCAATCTGGAAGTAAAGGCAATCAGATCAGGAATTGAAAATAATAAATTTTAATTGAACAATAAAATAGTAACCATCTTTTTTTCCTACAGTAAAAAGCAAAATAACGATGTACTGATAAGAGCCTACTTAAAAATAATATATCCTCACTGCTAAAAACTGAATATGTGTGTCAAATGAAAAAAATTATCATCTTAAAAGTATATTTTAAATTTATCACGAATAAAACAATCTATTTATTAAACTGTTATAGGGGAAGAAAGGTAAGCATTCTCGATTAAAGCGCACCAAGATGGAAAGAAATAAAAAGGGAATGATACTAGCTATGAATAAGAAAACAGCTGAGAATACAGTCAAAATATCACATACCTCCAGTATTAATTGAACAGTATCTCTTTCTGCGATGGAGACCATAAATGATAGAAGCTGCACTAAGAACAACCAAGACAGCGCCAATACCAATGAAAACAATAGCCGCTTCACCTATGTTTTCAGAATTCGCAAGATTCGAATTTGCCATATTTTGAGATTCTTCGAGCTGAATACCCATGGTTATTGTTTACGAACCAATGTTTCGTCTAAGGGAAAACCACGGACGAATTTTAATTTAGGGTAAGGAGACAACCAAGCATGCGAAACCTACTTCTGTTATTATTGCTCTCATTTTTACATCTATCGTAGCGCCATCTATTAACTAATTTCGCAAACTTAAAACTACTAACAAAAATTGGAGGTTTTCCGCAAAGAACCCGTTCTATTTTTACGCGCCAAGCTCGCCGATAAGCAGCGTACACTTCTCCTAAGCGAAAGAAACGAATTATTACATAAAAATGCTACTTAGTGTTAGAGCGAATTACTGCCATTCTTACTTTTTTTTATACATATAAAGAAAACATTTTAAAATAGGCATGTAATAAAGGAAAAATTACTTCTGTTGTTCAGATTGAAGCATTTTTGATAAATTAATAACGCAGCTTTCCGCTTAAATTAAATTTACTTTTTAAAGAATTAGAATTTATTTATTCACGTACTGAAAATCTAAGTAATCCAATAACATAGATGTGGAACAAGTGATTAAAGACAGGCGTAATTACAGTATGTTAAGAAATGCAAAACAGGAAATGGACGAAATTATTCTAGTCTCAGCATGCATTCGCTAGTAAGTACATTATCTATCACTTGTTCCACGTTCGATGAAGCTGCGATTATTGTGCATTGCGCATAACGTGTTCTGGCTGTCAGGATTTAGAGATGTTTTTATGGCGATGTAAGTAGAGTCTGTCATCTCAGATCTCAGAGGCACTCCGAAGAGAGACTGGAAACAATGCACTACTTGGGATGTGGCGCCATCTGCTCTGCCCAATTGTCGTTTATATACTCATTTTACAAATAAAATGGAGAATTATATTTCCATTTCATCGAAAACGTGAATAAACTGCATAGCAAGATTTAGTTTATCTTCTTGAGTTTTCAGTTTCTTGAAAATCACAGCAAGTTTCAAAATTTTTCTAATAAAACAGACAAAATTAAGCATCATAGAGTTAGCTTCCCTTTTCATACTGAGTCATTCTTCAGCTACCATTCATGAAATCTGCTTTACACATCTCTTTGGTTATTTTTGGCAGCCAAAATTGTTTAAGTATATTAATGTTCGTGACCATTCAAAAGATACCAAAGATAATATATGTTGTTGTTTTTGTTACTAATCTCACTTGTTTGATGTAATCAGAACAAGCCCACGAATTACTATCGTGGCAAGGAGTACAAGACTGCAGTTACCGTTGTCTAGAACCTTGAGCACTATGCAGGTAACCGTCCGACTTTATGCTCTGTACTGTTCCGCCTTCAGATTTGAAGGCGAGCATAGGAGGGGAGCGGATTCCGTGGGTCCTTTTCCCTACTACCAACCCCTTGAGACGACTTTCAGCTAGTCCACGGAATATACTCCCTGAGTTGGTCGCATTTTAGTGTTCTTATGCCGCACAGAAACTATACATTTACAAACATTTATACCTTCTCCAGGATTCCAGACCGGGCCCCTCAGTACGACATTCAGCTCCTATAATTAGTTTCCCATCTGGTCGGTGAAAATCTATATTCAGGTTCTGATTCAAACAATATAAAGATCATAGCTTAATTTCTAATACTAGGAGCCCTAAGGAAGGTAATCAAGAAAAGTGAACAAAAATAAATCTATCAATAGAATAATAAATAAAGAATAGCTGAAATTGGAAAAAATGTAAGCAGATAAATGAAAATTAACTAATTAAGTTAAATTAATAAAAAATAGTTAATAAAGTATAGATAAGAGCTAAAGTATAAAATGTTGTTCTTCAATTAAGAAACTAATGTAAATTTCAATTGCTTCTATAAAAATGTTATTTTTTTATTAAATTTTAAGAATTTTTTCCTTCTTTGTCTTTTTCTTATCAAATTTTCCTACAATTTCTTGTAAACTAAAAATTCGTTCAGTCACCTTCTGTTCGTGGCATAGATTTTTAAGATGTATGATAAGACTGCTCTTTGCTTACGTTAGTTAACAAGCACTACAGCCAATTCTTTGCTACAGCTAACGTTTATAACAAACAATTTCCCTTGGGTCTACTTAAATTTCTTTTAGCATTTCAAATTGAGTATGAACTTGCAATAAAGAGGACAGATTTCAATCATTACTTAATAGAAAAAGATTCTTTTTTTTTTTTTTTTTTTTTTTTTTTTTTTTTTTAGTGCACAAAGTGATCTAGTTATGTTCGTGAATAACAGTTTCTCTAATGCATTGTCTCTTCTTTTAAAAGGAAATCATACCAATTTCTTTTTAAAAATGGGCTAAAATCAAGAAGAGCTTTAAGCAACTTAATCTTATACATCTAATTATTGTCTATATGCATAAAGTAATTTTAACATTGTTAACTGTTAAACTAGTCATATTCTGTTTCACCTAACTAAAATTCTCCACAATCTAAATCAGAGCCTAAACCAGCATTTCTGAACTCCTTTATTAAAAAGAAATTATTAATATCTTCAAAAGACTAAAAAAAAAAAAAAAATACACATAAAAATTTATTCCGAATTCATGTTAAATATCTTTCATTACAGCATTTTATTAAATTTTGTTTATAATGTTTAAGGGGTATCTGACTAGCTAACCAATTACTTCTACCAAAATAATCACCGCCAGACGTTACCTTTGTAAGATGTAATTTTCTTTACTAACATAAACTGTTACTAGACCTACTTTGAAAGTCTGTTTAGCACTAAGATTAGAAGATGAATACAATAGAGGAAGGGTGTAAAAGGCCCTGTTACTGAAGTTATTTTACAGACGGCATGGTCTTATGTGCTTACAATTTCATCATCCACTTGCGGTGAGAAGCTTGAAATAAACCAAATTTAAGGGATAAGCTAGTAGATAAGTACTTCACTAGATAAGTAGTTCAAGACCACATCAACTAATTTAATCTAGCAGGGTGACTCAGAAGCCTGCCGGCGTGATACTAACTTCGGCTGCAAGAATGCGAAGCCGAGATTCAAAATTCAAACAGCAGGTAGAAATAACAACGTGCGCACTCAATAACGAAAACACGCTCTGTTTAATCTTTTCGCTACTTCAATTTAAACACACTCTCATTCTCCCTCATTCCTGGCGAAGAAACGCAAAGGAAACAAGGAGGAACATAAAAGGCTAACAAAATAAAATAACTATTAGTAAAAATAATATAAATCTTATAAATCTTTCTTCGTCATTTAAAGTTTGAATTATGCAATAGCCCTATAATTTTTACATTAAAAAATAACCTCTCCACAGTCTAAATATTTATTTATTATCTTTAATGCACTATCTATCAATGAGTATTTGGACACCCATGCAAATGCCGATATCGGCAGTCTTCATACGCATCGCGCACTTCACCATTGAATATCCTGTAGGAAATAACATTGGCATTAGTAGCAGGCAAGATTCTACGAAATGCAAGAGTTATATGATTTGGGGAAAGGTGTAATCGTCGGGTATCACAAAAATGGTCGATTTTAAGGGGAATATCTAGTGAGCTGAATTACCCAAATTCGACAGTGGCCTATGTGATTCAAAAGTGGAAGGTGAGCGGTGATTATTGGAATGAGCTTCGATTCGGCAGATCCGCGAAATTGGGAAATAGGTGCCGACGGGTCTTGACCAGCGCACCCAACCGATGGTCCACATACTCCAGGAGTTTCAAGAAGCAACTGCGAGTGTTGTTTCGATCTATACCATTCGTAAGAAAGCACATCTGCTTCGTTTTCATGGTCGTGCTGCTGCCCATAAGCCTTTGATCAAAACGTTCAGCCGCGTTGCCCGGTTAATGTGGTGCAAAGCACGATGACAGTGGACCATTGATTAGTGGAAAAGAGTCCTCTGAAGCAACGAATCAAGATTCACCCTCTACCGTGTCGATGGCAGGGTCTGGCGTCTGCCTGGAGAGCACACCCTGCTTCAGTGCGTGTGTGTGATTATGGCAAAGCCTCGAGGGCTATCTGCCTAAGGGGAGGGATGCCTTTGTGGAGGACTTTCTAAGGGAAACTGGCTCGTATACACGTTACATATGGGGAAAACAACGAAAACGCCCATGCAGCCAGCCCGTTTGCGGGATTCGAACCTCGGACCGAACTACCACTGTTCAGCGACTTTACCGCTCGGCCGCTGGTGCCCTGCTAAAGTGCATTGTGCCCACTGTGAAGTTCGGTGGAAGTGGAATTGCGATCTGGGAGTGGACTGAACCCTTGGCCCTAATTCATGGTAAACTGAAGACCGACGCCTACTGAACTATTCGGATGACAGTGGGCTTCCGACGTTGTCGCAGTTTTACGAGTTTGACTCATGTTACTTTCAGGACGACATTGCCAGCTGTCATGTTGTGATATCCACCATAGATTGGTATGATGACAACGGGTTTAATCGAATGAACTGACCTTGCCGAAAGCCCAGACCTGAATGCTATCGAGAACCTCTAGGATGAATTGAATCACCATATTAAGTGGTGCAACAACTATCCAATATCAGCGAAGGAGCTGACATGTTTTCTCTGGCCAAGTGGAAGAAAATTCCAATAGCCGTCATACAAGGCCTTACGGAACACATGCGCGGAGGATTGAGGATGTAACTGCCGCTCATGGAGGCTGTACCAACTACTGAATTTGAATGAATTTTGCTTTTCTTTACTTTCCTTTGCTTTTCTTTTTCTTTCTTACTTTTTTGCCTTTCGTGAGCGACTCTTCATGAAATATTTTTGTTGAAGACAAATATTTAGGGCAAGCACTGGAAATTGACATAATAGCAGTTTCTTGCAGTCTCACTTGTTTTAATGGAACTTCTATTTACTTACCCGTTATTTCATGATTATCTGTCGAGAAATCTTTCCCATGGAATTATAATTCACAGACCAAAATCCTAACCTCCTTCCTCGACACTTGAAATCCGGCTAGCTGCTTTATTGGCTGGCGTTGTTTGTCCGTCAGCCGCTCGCTGGATCTCGTAGGTGGTTTCCTTCTGTTTTCATTTCTCGCCAACTTGTTACTCTTTTGTGCTAGCCTCAGTTTTTCAGTGATGTTTCCATTTTCCTCGTCATGCATGCGTCTTTTAGACTCTGTTTTGCCCGCTCTGGTCTCCTTTCTTTTCTTTTCTGGAACTACT